TGTGAGCGAAATAATAAACTGTTTCAAGTGCCCGACAAGATCGAGGGGCGCCGACTCGAGAATGTCTCCCCAGGGGGATCCACTGCCATGGCCTGCGCAACTCGCAGCCGCCAGCGGCCAGGGGCCAGGGATGGGGGGGACAGGCGACCCCTCCTCCTCCTCCTCCTCCTCCTCCTCCTCCTCCTCCTCCTCCTCCTCCTCCGTGCACCCTTCTCTCCCCCGGAGGCCTGCACCCTTTCCCCTGGGCCCTGGGCTGGCTTTTTTTCGCCCCGAGCTGTTTTGTAGAGCAGTAGCACAGTAGCAGCAGGCAGTAGGAGGAAGAGGAAGAGGACGAAGAGGAGGAGGAGGAGGAGGAGGAGGAGGAGGAGGAGGAGGAGGAGGAGGGGGGGAGGAGGAGGGAGGAGGAGGAGGAGGGCCACAGCCCAAGAGTCCCGGGAGCCCACGGGGCCCAAGATGCGTCGGCTGGCACGCCAACAGCAACAGCACCGACGGCAGCAAAGCAGGGGGCCCGGGGCCCCGGCTGCAAGGCTGCGAGTTGCGCGCCTGCTCGGACGTCGCACAGAGACTCCAACTCCCCGACGATCGCATCGGCCTTGCCCCAAACCAACAACGCTAGGTTGGCAGGTCCAAGCGCCTCGCGCTTCTTCATGAGGAAGAACAGGAAATGATCCAGCGGCTGGCGGCCCTTCGTCATCACCCGCACAGTGATCATGAAGCACGCATCCTCCAGGGCGGCGGGAGGGAGGGGGAGGATGAGGCAGGCGGCATGAGGAGGTGGAGGAGCGGGGGGGGGGGCCGGCCGGGGGGGAGCATTGAACAGGAGGAGAAGGAGTAGGAGGGAGGAAGAAGAGGGGGGGGATCAGGAGGAGGAGCGAGGATATATCGTTATACCTAGTACAATGGAAGGGGCCAGGGACAAGGCGAATGAGGCCCGACTGACAGCCCCAGAGGGGGAGGGGGGGAAGAGTGGCGAGGAGGAAGAAACTCCGAGTTCCCTCCCTCTGTACTTATCAAATACTTAGTTACTTATCCTCCCTCGCCCGTGTCCTGCACCCCCTTGACTGCGCCGGCTGCCCACGCACTGAGCTTGGCGCTGAACTCTCTGGCATCCTCCTCCCTCAACTCGTCCACCCCAGCGGGCCCCGCGCGGCCACGGCCGCGGCGACCAGCAGCAGCAGCTCGACCCCCTCTGCCCCTGCCGCGCCCGCGCCCTGCAGCTGCAGCAGACTCAGGCGGCGCCAAGACCTCGGTCAGAACGGTGGCGAGCTGATTCTGGGGAGGCTTGAGGACATGCGCTTCGCATGCCCCAATGGCGCCCCGCCGCCCTGAGATGCATCTCGGGGGCGCGGCTGAAGCGTTGGCTCGCGCTGCAGGGGCATTATACTTAGCCAGCCACTTCTCGTACACCTTACGAGCGTGAAATCGCCAAGCTCTCATGATTTTGGCAAGCGTTGCAAAATACCTCATGCCAGAACGATCCTCAACGAACTGGTCCGCCAACCTCAGGCTCTGTAAGATGATCAACTGGTACTGGTGGCAGAGGCAGTCCACGTCGAAAATCAAGCATGATGCGTCTCTCTGCGACGATGCAATGGCCATCTCTCTCGCGCCCTTCTCATCGCCCCCTGCGTCTGTGCAGAAAGCGAACGCACTCATTACATAGGATGCTGCGTCGAACGGGTCTAACCTCCCGCCATCGAACGGCTCTGGCTCGAACGGGGCCAGGGCGTCGACGTCGACCGCGTCGACCTGCGTGGAACGCGGGAGGGGGGCATCAAAAGGGCAGGAGGAGCTGGCAAGATCGCTGAGGGTCGGACCCCAGTGACCCCAGCCGACCTTCGAGGCCCTCGAAGGTCGGCTGGGGTCACTGGGGTCACCCCCTGGGGTCCGACCCTCAGCGATCTTGCCGGCTCGATTCGAGGCCAGCCGACGATCACGCCCAATACCCTAGCGATGGTGCGCAAACGAAACCACAAGCCCTTGGCCCTTGATACCTCCAAAACCTCCGCCCCCTCTGACTCCTTCCTCCGATGCCCCTGCCCCGAAGAAGGATGGGGAATGGGGTTAATCCCCGCGGGCCGGAGCTGGCGGCAGCGCTGGCGGCGTCGGCGGCGCCGGCGGCGCCTCCCCCGCCTCCTCCGCGTCCGCCAGGGGCGGCGCCAGCACTGCCGCGGGCAGCGGCAGCGGCGCTGGCGGCGCCGGAGGCGCCGCGGCGGCGGCGGGAGCTGCCGCAGCCGCAGGACCGCCTGCGGTGGAGGGGGCTTTCCTCCTCTCTCCTGCCGCTGCCTCACCCCCGCCTGGAGTCCCCTGGAGGAGGACAGAAAGAAGAGGAGGAGGTGGAGGAGGGGGAGGGGGGGGGCGAGGAGGAGGTGGAGGAGGTGGAGGAAGAGAAGGAGGACTTCCTTGCCCCCCAGCCGCACGCGGGCCGGGAGTCGGAATCCAAACGACGTTTGACGGGGGCCCGGGGCCTCCGAGATCCATGAGCGCAGCTCGTTCTGGGCGTAGACTCGACCAAACAGGGCACCCCACTGATGTCATTTGCTTTTGTACCATGCTGTACATGCCGCTCTTGTCCCCATGTTTGACGACCTGGAGGTCTCCTAGAATTTTCTTATGATTGATCTTAGCTTTGATGGACGACCAGCTTTCGTTGTCTTCGATATCATCCAGCAGGTAGTACGAATCAGCCTCTGACGCCCTCAACTTGCTTCGTTGCCACACATGTGCATTGGTTGCGTCCCCTCTCAGGACGTGGAGCTGGAACTTCAGACGGGGTCGGCCGCCGCCGTGAGAGCCGGCGATCGCGCCCAGTAGCAGCTGGGCGCGCATCTGGCCGTGCCATTTCCGCGCCGCGGATAAAAGAGCCGCGCGGAGCCAGACCTTCCCAGCGGGGTGAGGGGGGGGCGAGTAGGAAAAATACGAAGAGGAGGGAGGAGGAAACGTAGGGGGAGGCGATAATGAGGAGGATGGAGGAGGAGTGGGAGGAGGAGGGAGCAGGGACAAGCGAAGAGGTGGGGGAGAGGAGGCCGCGCCTCCCAGCGCAAAACGGTACACCGATGGACGTCGAGTTGCAACGTGAGGCCAAGAGCATACGCTGCACCATTTGAACAACAACGCCTCAAGGCTAGCTCGTAACCGCCCTGAGGAGTGAAGTAGCGGCCATCCTTCCCGTTTTTCTTCATGCTCTTTTCCTTCTGGGCCTGCTCGAGGCCCCGCGCGTGCTTGGACCTATGTTGGGCCTGAGTCATCCAGTACCTCGCTCTTTTTTTCGCATTCCGAAGATCGACTGCTCTCTGATCGTCTTTCTGTTTCAGGGCCCTGCAGTAGTTCCTAAGCTCATCGGGGGTCATCCTGTCGAACTCGTCCATGTCGTCGTCTCCGTCTCCCACTTCGACGAGGGCGCAGACGCCGACGCCGATGCCGAGGTCACCTGAGACCCCCCGTCGTCATCGCCCTCCTCCTCCTTCCTCCTTTTCCTCCTCGCCCTCGTCTGCCCCCTCCCGAGGAGGAGGCAGACGAAGGAGGAGGAGGGGGGGAGGAGGAGGAGGAGGAGGAGGAGGAGGAGGAGGAGGAGGAGGAGGAGGAGGGGGAGGAGGAGGAGGAGGGGAGGAAGAAGGAGGAGGAGGAGGAGGAGGAGGAGGAGCCTCCTCCTCCTCCACACCCAGACTCCCAGACTCCCAGAGTCCTCTACCTTGCCTTCCTCCTCTGCCCTCTTCTTCCCCCTTTACTCCTCCCCCCCTCCGACTCCTCCTTCTCGTCCTCCTCCTCCTCCGACCCCATGGCCCTTCGGCGGGGTCTGATGATATCAGACGCTTTGCCAATGGGCCCCCAAGGCCCCCCAACCGTTTAGAAAACCCTGACCGGTCTGACCGTCCACCAGCGGCACCAGCTCCAGCCCAGCGCCCGCGGGCGGCGCCGCCGGCGCAGCTCCCACCGCCGCGTCGGCGTCGACAGCCGCAGGCGCAGGAAGAGCAAGAGGGGGAGGCGGAGCGTAGCCTTGTGAAAGCGCAACGAGGTCTTCAGGCGGCCGACGGAGCTCCCTGCACAATCGCTCTCGAACTCTCGGCCACGAGATGGCGTCGGGTGTCAGACCGCAATATTCGAAAACACCTGGTATGACATCTAAAGAATACATGCCCACTGCCAAACACGTCTCTGCAAGCACGGGCAACGTGTCCAACGTCTTGCCACCAGCACGAGTGAGCCATTTAGTGTCGAAGATATCCCCGAGGCGGGCGAGTAGCGTCAGCAAGGATTGGCGGGTAATGAACGGGGCCGGGGAACGATCCAAATCGATATCGCACAGCAAACTGGCTGTGCACGTCAATCGCCTTTCGATGTGGTTCATTGACCGAAACGCTTGAGCCAGAGCGGCTGCAACGGATCACACAACGCCCAGAACTTCAAACAAAGAACAAGTCGGCGACGCGCCAGCGGGCACCGTTGGGGTATGAGAGGGGACGACTGCAATTATCTAGTACTTCGGTGTCGCTCACGGGGAGACTCGTCTGGTATGAGAGGGGACGACTGCACTCACGTTCAGACTCGTCTCAAAGCGCACGCACCATCGGTTTCAGCTACGGGTGCGCACGAACGATGCCTTCCAACTGGGGCTTGAGGCAAAACATGAGAGAGGAAAAACGCTGTTTTCAAATGTTGGAAACGTGCGTGTTTCATTTATTTAGAGTTACTTTAGTCAACCGTGACGCGGCTCGGCGCTACATAGAGCATACATGTGTAGTTTGCAAATACTGAAAACAGAAAAACCGTTGGTTCTAAATTCGTATTTGGCTGTTTTTGCCATGTGGAAAACACGCCCAACGCCAAAAACATACATACAATCGCGCTCACTTCTGTCTTCCATACAGCTGCGGTACCTCGAAAACAAATACGAAACGAGCGATCGAATGGAACATTTGGGCGACTCCCGAGCGACAGCGGCGCTACGTGGAGGACGACAAGCCCCCCTGTCGAGGCTCATCCCCATGGCCCAATACGTCCTGCGCCGTCCACGCCTCGCATACGCTTGGCAGGGGCCTCGCGGATCTCCAGGATGGATTTGAGCGTGTTCTGGAGCGTCTCCTGTAGCGCCTCGACCTGCTTGACGTGCTGATCCATCTGGCTCTTGAGGTCGCGGAGCGACTTCTGCTGGTTCTCATCGAATTCGTCCATGTTGTCGATGTCGGTCTCCTTGATCGCGAACGGAATCTTCTTCCCGTCGGCACTGTAGCCCTCAGGAGGTGGAGCCGTGCTCTTGCCGAGGGATCGCGAGAGGGCGTCGATCGCCTGGTCGTGGGCCTGCTTGGCGGTGGCTGCCTCCACGCTGGCCACTGACATGTCGCCCTTTGCCGCCACGAGGGCCGCATCGGCAGCGACCACGGCATCTGCTGCACGGCGGAGTGCTGCTTCTTTCTTCTGTAGATTCTGCGCGGCGAAGTTCGCCTCCTGCTGGGGCGTACGTTTCTTGACCGAAGAGGCCGCGAGGTGCTCTCCATCTCCTGGATGACCTCACGGGAGCCCGCGAATGCAGGGATGGATGCCAGCATCTGGAGCAGCTCGACGGGGTCCGCCTGCTGGGTCTGTTTGGCCCATGGCACGGTGGTGGTCCAGGGCGCCTTGGACTTCGCCTTGAGGGCCGCCCTGAGCGACGGCTTGAACAGACCGATGGCGGAGGCACACTTCGCGCACTTGCAGTCGTTCGCAATGATGCGGAAGTTGTACGCCCAGTTGCCGCACGACTGGCACACCGAGAACGGCTGAGGGCGCCCCATCGTGATATGGATGGCGGTGCGAGTGCACCACCAGTAGACTCTTGGCCCCAGCAGCGCGCAGTTCGACAGGGTTTGCCTGAAACGGGAGCTAGCCTCGAACTAGAGGCATCCGCTTCTTGCCCAGAGGACAAAACCATCTTGAGCCAAAATGGTTACGGATCTGAGTTTCCCAGGAGGAGGAGGAGGAGGAGGCGGAGGAGGAGGAGGAGTAGGAGGAGGCGGAGGAGGAGGGAGGAGGGAGGAGGGAGGAGGGAGGAGGAGGAGGAGGAGGAGGAGGAGGAGGAGGAGGAGGAGGAGGAGGGCGGGTCGCCTAAGCCCTTCGGAGAAACCCTCCACTACCGACCTAGGCCCATCCGAGCCCAGGCCAGTCGGGCTCTGCAGGATCTTGAAATCGGCGGCGAGCGAGGGGGGGAAGTGAGAACGAGAAGGCCTTGTCAGAAGGCGGCGGGACTTCTCGGAAGCCCTCGCGCCTTCTGAGAAGTTTCTGTGTCTTCGGGGAAAACGTAAAAAACTTCTCAGAAGTCTGGAGGACGTGCGAGCCAGGGCCAGTCGGGTTTTGCGGGATCCTGCAAGCTCTAAGACAAAGCCAGGACGAGGATTCGGAAGATAAATCGGGAATCTCTGAGGTCTGGCGGCTCTGGAGGATGCCTCGGGCGCCGCGGCCTTCTCAGGGCGTTCCTGAACGCTCAGAGCTTTCCGGAACGCTCTGAGAGCGTTCCAGAACCCTCTGGAACGGACTGATCCTCGTCCTTGCTCCGCCCGTAGATCCTGCAGGATCCTGCAGGATCCTGCAGGCTAGCCGGGGTCAATGCAACCCTGGCTCTGCATGCTCCTGCAAAAGATCCGACGCTCTGGCCGACCCCCGCTCTCAAACCCCCGACGTCGTGATCTTTGTCATGAAGCCGACCCTCAGAGGTCTCGACCCATTCCCCTGGTCCGGTTTTTCATCCCGAATCGATGTTTGCCGGTCCCGGGGCCCGGTGAGGGCCCCTGGAGGTCGAAAATCGCGAAAGACCTCCCGTCGTGCATTTTTTCCCCAGCGCGCGGGAGTCTAGGCTCGTGGCCGCAGACCGGCGGCGGACCCTCTTTGACCAGCCCCGCGCAGCGGCGTGGCGATGCTGCGCCCGCCTTCATGCGCAATGTGTGCGACGGCCTCTTAACCGGAACGGGTGGCGATCGACCTCGGAGAGGTCCTGTTGGAGCTCTCACCGCGGAAGCCTCACTCGTTGCGAGGCGGGGATTTATCCATACCCACCGCCCGGGAACCGACGCCGTGGTGCCCCAGCGGGCGGTGGATGTGGAGGTATTTCGGCCCCCGGGGGCCCGAATATGTCCATATCCACCGCCTGCCGAGGCTCCGAAAACTGACCCTCCAGGCGGTGGATAGGGCGGAGGAGGAGGAGGAGGAGGAGGAGGAGGAGGAGGGAGGAGGGAGGAGGGAGGAGGGAGGAGGGAGGAGGCTCGGACTCATCGGATTCCTGCAAGACTATGTCACCTCGGCCACGGCGGCCCAAGGGCCCGCGAGCGGATACGGCCTGGACCACGCCTTGGCCGGACTGCGACCTGGCTGGCTTCTGTCTGTTGCCTCCTGCCGAAAGTTGCGGGAGGCTTGTTTTCCAGTGCGTGAGCAGTTATTGCTTGCCAGTGGTACTGAGGCCTCTCCTGCTCAGGTTGGCGGCTGCCTCGTGATTGCTCGCGTCGCATATCTGCTATCTGGAACGTTTGCCATGCAGTGGCTCGGCATGGAATGTGTGAACGCTGTGCAGTGGCACGGCTTCGGACTCGGGTGAATGCGTTGCTGGTTTTGTCCGACTGACTTGTTAGACGTTTACATGTTGTTATGTCCTTATGTCCCCCCCTTCCCCCGCCGAGCGCCGTTACGATGGAAGTTCTGTATTTCGTGAGGGCGACGAGGGAACGAGGGAGGGAAGGAGGAGGAGGAGGAGCAGCAGCAGGAGGACCAGACCGAGGGGGAGGCAACAGCCCCGAACCGCAGAAGCGACAAGGCGGGAGGACAGGAAACGAGCTTAGCTGCCCCATCACGCACCACGCAACGCGTAGCATGTTGACACGGAGCTCATCACGGAGACTGACAACGTAGATCTGGCGCGATGCGTTCGCCAAGACGTGGGCCAACACATGCCGAGCCAACACGCAGCGCGTTCGCACGGAAAGTTTGAACACGGCACGTGCTGTGTATCAGCACGGGCGTATCAGGGCAGCTAAGTAAGAGAGAGGGGAGGCGACAGAACGACGAGACAAGACAGGCAAAGCGACAAGCTGAAACACAAACAAAGAAAACTCTTCCTCCATCTCTTCTCCTCCTCATCCTCTTCCTCCTCCTCCACCTGCTCCTCCTGCTCTCCCCCTTCCTAAATTTTGCCCTCGGCCCTCCTAAAGGATCGAGGAAGAATTCCGAACATGTTCGGACGGTTATTGGACGTTTCGCCCCTTTTCGGGCCACCTGGGACCTCCAGGGACCTCTGGGGACCTCTGAGGACCTCCAGGGGTCAGGATCTGGGGCGGGAGCAAAACTTCCCCTCCCCCCTCCACCCCTTTCCTTTTCCTCCTCCTCCTCCTCCTCCTCATCCTCCTCCTCCTCCCCCTCCCCCTCCCCCCAGAAGCAGCTCGGCTGGCCCTGTGGTCGACACGCAGCTGCAGCCCCATGGGCTCCAAGACATACCTTGGCCGCGGGCCAGCCATCCCCCTCCTCCTCTCCCTCCCCCATCCGCCTCCTCCCTTTATAACGTTGCACAAACTCTGACACACTGGTGGATGCTTAGCGTGGTTCCTCCTCCTCCTCCTCCTCCTCCTCCTCCTCCTCCAGCTCCTTGACCTCGGCCTCCTCCTCCTCCTCCTCCTCCTCCTCGTCATCCTCCTCGTCCACCTCATCCTCATCCGCATCTTCATCCTCATCCTCATCCTCATCCTTATCCTCCTCATCCTCCTCATCAGCATGATCATCAGCAGCATCAGTATCAGCATGAGTATCATCAGCGTCAGCATCAGCATCAGCATCAGCACCATCAGCATCATCATTGTTATCAGCATCATCATCATCATCATCATCATCATCATCATCCTCATTATCATCCTCATCAGCAACAGCATCAGCATCAGCATCATCATCATCATCATCAGCAGCATCATCAACATCATCAGCATCATCATCATCGCCATCATCAGCATCGCCATCATCATGGCCATCACTGTCATCATCATCAACACATCATCGTCATAATCAGCATCATAACCATCATCATCACCACAGCATCAGCATAATCATTATCACCCTCATCATCGCCATCACCATCACCATCACCATCACCATCATCATCATCATCATCAGGATCATCCTCATCCTCATCCTCATCCTCATCATCATTACAATCAACATCATCATCAACATCATCATCAACATCACCATCATCATCACCCTCTCCGCGTATTGTTTTCGCATACCTGATGTGTGCGAGATTTGTCTTCCTTATGTGATTGTCCAATATGGTCGCTTTCCAATACTTCAAAATGGTGTTCCCGCTGCACCGCTGGCCTCATTTCGGCGCTTCTGGTCCTCCAGAACCGTGTTCCCGCTGCAACGCTGGTCTCATTCCCGCGTTACTGGTCCTTCCGAATGGAGCTCCCGCTGCAGCCCTGGTCTAGGTTCAGCGTTTTCGGTCCTTCCGAATTGTGCTCCTGTTGCAGTTTCAGCTCCATTTCCGGATTTCCGGTCCTTCCAAATGGTGCTTTCGCATACTTCGCGGTCCTCCAGCATGGTTGTCCGGCTGCACCGTTGATGCAACCATGGTATGCAAGTCAATGCTATGTTACGTACCGCTATGCAGCGATTACATGCCTTGCTCTGCAACGCTGTGATATGCAATGCTGGGTTGTTCGCTGACATGCCATGCAACAATATATGATTTACAGCTGTGCGATGCCATGCCTTTCGCCGCAATGCTATGATATAATATGCAATGTTTGGCTACGCAATGCTTTGCCATGGTATGCATCGCGCACCCTTTGGGGATCGTTGTCCTCTTAAACACCCTAGTGTGCTAACAGAAAGGGACTCTACTCAATGGTAATGGATAGGAGGGGTATGACGTCAGATAGCGAGCGCACCTAGCTTGTCCTCCTCATCCTCCTCATCCTCCTCTCCCCTCCACGAGTCTCGCGTGCTGCGCACTTTCGTGGCTAGTAGGAAGCCTACTCGTTCATTTCTCGCTATCTGTGGGCATCCCAGCTCGGACGAGAAAGGCCTGCTTGCGTTCAGCGCCGGTGGTCAGGGAAGACTGCACCGGATAACACCAAGATAGGGTAACAGACCCACCATGGGATCTAGACGGGAAGACTGCAACGGCTGGAACAAAAAGCTGCACGGCAGTTATTCTGCAACGCGAGAAAACTGCACTGTTTTTTTCTGGAACTAGTTACAGAAAACCTGAAAACAAGCCCCCATGAACGGGTAACAGAGGGCCCCGAACAAAAGGTTACAGTGCAGCAGCCGAAAATCTCCAACTCAGACAACGTGTGGCAGGTGCTGCATTGAACGCGAAAGCCTACAAAAACTGCACTGCAACAAAGTGCGCGTTTGTTGCCTCGAACCGGCCGTTCACTGTTACCCTGTCTCCGCTTCCCTGACGTGGCTGGGCGGCCAAGGTATCGGTATGCCGTGCCCTGAGTTTCCCGCCCTTGTCACAACTTTGCATTTCTGATCGACAGTTCGTCCCAATTCACTCTACGGTCAGGAACTGCTGCGTAGCGTCAACTAGCGTGTCCCCGCGGCGGCCCCAGCGACACGCTATGGCCTGCAAGCGGATACCGTGTCGCTCCACTCCGCGGGGTAGGAGGCTGGGAAAGGCTCAGGACGTTGACGCTGAGGGACCAGACAGTGGATAGCGTGTCGCGCCGAAGCGTGGTGGGCCAGAACCGGCGGAGCGACGCGCTAACCCCAAGTTCCCGACCGTCTCTCGCTTCGGCTCTCCCTGAAGCTGCTG